ATCCTTTTCTAAAAGAGCTCTTCTATCAACTCGCTTCTTGCCCCAACCACCATTCTGTACGATATGCTGTCATCTCGGCCGCATACGATGTATTTTGAATCCAAGCAGGCAACCGCTGGCAAGCGACAGGAAACAATTCAAAAATTCATTCTCAACTTGGGATGTCGCGACACACCAGGATGTAGTTTCGGAGCAATTGCGACCTTCGGATATTGGCATGCGTCATCGATCCTCGCCCCGGCCCATGTCGCCGATGATCGTCCATTTTTGACGCCAGTTTACTGCTCAAAAATGTGACAAAAGATTCTTTCGAAGATTCAGCGCGGGCGAGTAGCCAAAAAGGGGTCCACCCGCGACAACCCTGCCATAATCGGATCCGCGTTGGACCAATCATCGATGCGCTTGCGACGGGACGACCGCGTGAGCAACCAGCACTCTTGGTCGCTAGGGATCGGTCGCTCGTGTGGCGTGTGGCGTTGGCGCGTGTGACGCCACTCGCCCCGCGCGTGCTGTCCCTGGCACCACGTAAACGCGCCGTAACGAGGCAGCAGCGAGCGCTCTTTGCACCCCGCATACAGTGGCCGTTCTACGACTACGACGCCGTCATATACTACACAAATACACAGTGTTGGCTAAAAACACGATCGTCGATTACTTCAACCTCCCATGCGCATTGCACGCGGCCATCGCGGATCGTGCTCGTTTGCGCAACGCCAACGGACCTGTCATATTCAATACCCTGTGCTTTGTCATTCTTCAACGTGAGTTTTTGGCCAAGTATAAGACTCTGAAAACAAATATCCTGTTGCAATGCATGTTGCTCTCTGGGTGCCTGTGGCGTCGATGTGCTCTGGGCAAGAAAACCGGGCTGGGCTGAACGAGGTACACCTCTCGAATGTGACGATCCCAAAGCTGCACCGTGGGATACGGCCATGGCCTGGGCGCCGCGCGCATGTTTGTGCACCACAGCGTGCAGGCTCTGCGGGAGGCCTACAGGAGCGCTACCAAGTTTGTTGGGTGCGCTGGGTTCGCGTACTGTTTTCGTATCAATCAGAGGTCCTACCCTGCGTCGTGCCACTCTGCTTTGCCAACATCAAATGCTGCGCCTGAGAACGCTTGAAGTTTCTATTGCACGACTGCTGCGTCCGATGCTCCCAGGTTGGGGCAATCCTCCCAAGCACGTTCGCCATACAGTGGAAGCGGCTTTCAGCCGTTGCGATTCGAATGATGGGACGAGCCGGCATTCGTCGCAGTGTTGCTTATGTGCTTCTGTCAAGTGGCAAGGGGCTGTGATAGCCCGTGCGCCTGCGCACGTTGCGACCACAGCGGGGCGTGGACACCCTTTTTTGTCGCGTGGACGCTTGCATTTTTTTCACACCATCACTGACGTAACGGTCAGATCCTTGCTGGCGGCCACCAATCAAATGCTTCAGCGCCTCGCACATCCCATCGAATCTTCGATCGAACGAAGATGCGACATACAAAGCCCTTTTCAGCACACAACTGGCCGCGCTACGATCGACAACACCGCGTCAGCAGCGGCGACAGCCAATCGCATCCATCACCCACCATCTCGTCGGCGCCCCTACGACGTACACGCCTCCACAGTATTCCCGTGCAGCGAATCTCTCGCATCTCCGCCCGCGACCCGCAACAGCCAAGGTCGTGGCTCAGTGCTCTGGGAAAGGGCCAACTGGGAGCATGAGAGCAGCGGCTTGCTGGCCCATCGATGTATCGGGACGACAGCGAGTGACGTGGAGGTGTCGCCAGCAAGCAACCGGTCCTTTGCACAAGTACAAAAAAAGCCCGACCAAATAAAAACACGCGCGGGACATACCCTTTTTTGTCGCAAACGAGCGCTCCGTCGCGTGCGGGTGCCAGTTTTGAATTTGCTCTCGACCGAGCCAACCTCCGCCAAGCACCATGTGGCATCTTCCCAGCCTGACCGAGCCCATCACGATGGCGTCGCCCGCGCCGCGTACGCTCCTCGACGCCGACTCGTTCGACGAGGAGTTCAAGACGCTCTTCAAGCAGACGCTCCATAAACCGACCTCGAGCTACGTCGACGTGTTTGCCTACGACGACGAGAGCACGACCGGTCTCGCGTCGCCTGTCGCCGCCGACGACATTGACGGCTTCTTCTTCAGCACGTACTCGCAGCCGATTGAGATCGACTACCGCCGCCGGCGAACGTGCTCCATGGAGAGCTACGAAGACCGCGATCTGCGCATGCGCCGCCGCGTCGCATATGCCGACGACGACGATGATGACGCTCTCTTGCCGTCGGCGATGGCGACGCGTGCGGCCGACGACGACGCCGACGACATCTTTTTGCTCGAGCTCTAAGTGCGCCTTCCGTAGCTGTAGTAGTTTGTAGTTTAGTAGTCTTTGTCGTCGAGCCACCGATCGATAGCGCATCATCACGTCCCCTTCGCCGTACCTAATCCATCCCTTATTTATCCTCCTCTGTTTTCCTCTACCATATTATTGACGAGGACGTGGTCGCATCCATGGCGTCGGCAGTCGGCAACCAGTCGTCGGTTCGCGTGTCCTTGGTTCTTGGCGGTCCCACGGCGCCAGCCCGTGTGCCATGGCGTCGCTGCGCCGCCACGGTCAAGGCGTTTGATTGGCTAAAATACATCCGATCCATGAATCGGATTGGTCCATTTTATCGAATGTTGCCACACAAGTGCAAATTGTAGCGCGCGTCCAACGGTTCGATATTTCGGCATCTGGTCAGCGCACCTGCGCCTCCATCGATGCACCTCTGCGTTTCTTAGTCCAAAGCCGTGCGCCGAGTACTGTGACGAAGCTTGGAGTTTGTATGCCCCGTTGCCTGCAAGCCACGTGTGTCTTTGCGACGCGACAGGCTCGCTGTGTGGCATCGCATGCACGCACGACGATGTCGCTTGCCGCAAGGCTTCCTCAAAGCACCAGCCAAGGCGCTTGCTAGTCCGCACTCGGATTTCTTCAAGCGGCGTGAAGGACCACCGACGCCGCAGCTGAAACCTCCCACAGGATCTGAAACCTCCCACAGGACTCAACTTGCAACTTGTTGAGGAGCGCACTGTGTCTCGGCACGGGACAGTGCGCGGGACGAGGCGCCTTCTTCGTGACAAGGCGTCGCTGCTGACACGCCAATCAGTCGCACTCAGTATACTCAGTATTGGTTGAGCTTATGGTTGCAGTAGCTCGAGCGTGCCACGTTTGCGGCGTTCTTGAAGTCCTTTAGTGCACGAACAAGCTCGCAACTGCGTTGGTCCGAGCTAGCTCACAGCGAATACTATTACGCTCAATATGAAATTCGAATGGCATCGGCTTGAGTGTTCTCCCAAGCACGGTTGCTGACGTCGCTGGCCCAGAAATATATGAATACGCATCTTCAGAAGAAGCAGCTTTATGGAAGCACATGAATGGTATCCAAGTAGCTGGAACTGTGAAGATTGCTTGAGCGCATGGTTGGTTTCTTTGTCGGTCGACGAAGTTGCTCGTGGTCGATCGGGGCAGTCTTAAAGTTGTTAGGAGGAAGAAGAAGAAGTCACCTTGTTGGGCTTCCTCGGCGCAGCCCTACAGTGAGCATCCATTCAATATCAAATATTTTACGAAATCGTCAGCAAGTATCCGAGCACTTGTCGAAGGCCCTCTATTGTCTGCGTTTGTCGTTTGCAGTTATTTTCATTGTGCTCGATAGCCGCTCTTACAACATAAAGCTCACATAAAACCTTTCATCTCATAGATGCGAGCGAATTTGCGCTATATAGCCCAAATGGCTAAAAACGTGTAAGGAGCCGACACAAAATGGCTGAAACCCGCCGTTTCCCGAGAGCTTGGATCCAAAGATACGCAACTTCAACTTATCCGGATAATGGCCGCTCCGCTGGCTCGTCTTGGGCTTTTGTATCCGGACGAGAAAATTCCCTCTTTGCCAGCTTTTGTATATTGTACAGAATGAATTTTTCTTCGAGTGGAGTAGCAATGCCCGTTGTAGCAAGGGAGATTCCCGACCTGTCTCTGCCAAAGAAGCGCCGCCATCGCCATGTCGACGTAGATGCTGCCAGCTCATGTATCAGCATGGCTCATGCTTCCGTAGGGTCCATGACACGGGTGGCCTCGTGGGCATCAAGGTCCTTGTGCCCCATGCTGGCGACGTCGTCGCCTACGACGCCAAGGAGCAGCGCTACGAGGTGCGTCGCCGCTCGCCGCTCGCCTCGCTCACCTCTGGGCATAGGTCCGCTTCGTCACGGGCCTTGTCATGAACCTGCCACGCGACGAAGTGCTCAACCTCAACCGGATGTCCATGCTTATGCCGACGACGCCGGTCGTGCACCATCCGCTGGTCGGGACGTTCGTCGTCAAGCTCTTCGGCTCGACGCTGGTTCGTGGCGTCGTCCAGCAACATATCTCGGAGTGGAACGTGTTTGAAGTCGCTTACGACAATGGCCTGCGTGAACACGTCTCCGAAGACTACATCCGCGCGAACCCGTACGAACCCGTCGTCGTCAAGGTCGAACCGCCCGACGATTGCATCGATCTCACCCTCTCGGACGACGAGACGCCCATCAAAACCGAACACCCGCCTCGGTTGCCGCCATCGCTGGCGCCTGTCGACGAGTTGCCGCCTGCGCCGGCCGCGTACAAGCCTCCGCCAGCGACTCCGGTGGCCAGCGTTGCGCTAGCGGCACCAGCTACAGCGACTGCAATGCCGCCAGTGGCTTCACCCGCGCCAGCGACCGACGTCGCACTGCCGGAGCACAGCATAGTCGAGTGGAGTGCGTCCGAGAGCGACGTGTCACCACCACACAAGCAGTTCACACGGCTGACCAAAGCCAAGCCGCGCCGACTGAATAAGGCCGGACGAACGCTGCCTCTTCCGCCGCCCGCCTTGTCCGAGTCTGAGTCTCCACGGACACGTGACGCGTCATCGTCCGAAGACGAAAACACGAGCGAACAAGGCGCGTCATCCTCCTCCGACGACGAGAAAACACGGGATCCGAGGGCGGTCAAGGACGAGCTGGCCGCCAAGGTGTTGCGGCCGGTTGACAAGAACCGACGGCACCACTGCCACGTCCGTCATAAGAAGGACCGGCGCTCAACGAAGGCAGCGTCGACGTTTCTCGAGACAAAATCCGAGGATACGGCGCGGAGACCAAAAATGGCCAAGCGAGCCGAGTACACCCCGCCGTCATCACCCGTGTTGAAGCCCAAGCGCCTCAAGAAGACGCCAAATGTGCCAGAGCTGACACGGCCGCGCAGTAACGTGCGTCAACTCAAATCGCGAACGCCCAATGCTTCGCCCAAGGCGAGCACGCCAAGGGACCACGTGGCGCCTCCGCTCGTGTCGCCCCGGGACATGGACACCGAGTTTGTTATTCCAAGGAAGCAAGCGAGCAGCAAGCCGACACCGAGCCAAAATGAACGTCCGCATTCGAACTCAAAGTACACTGCTGCGATCTTCAACCCGCCAAATGCAATCAATCGTCGGCCAACCCAACGACCCACAGATCGAGCCCGGCTGGACACTCCGACGCTCAGCAACACACGGTCAATGTCACCAAGGTCGAGGCGCCAGAAAATCAAGCCGCCCGTAATGCTGCCTGCAGGCTGGGATGCGCCACCAAGCCGTACCGCGACAGTGTTGGGGAAGAACCAGCCGGCAGCGATCCCACGGCCAACCGTCCCCATCATGTCAAAGCCAGTCTCTAATTTGGCGGCTAAAGCCCGCATTGTCGCCAAGGGGCTCATGCCCGATTACATGTTGAAGAACGCGGCCGTGGCGGCGGAGCGCCTCAAGAACGCGCAGTTGGAGTCGGCGAGCAGCGGCGGGTATGTCCCTCTCGGTCGCAAGCACCAGTTGAGTACGAAGCTTATCCAGCGCCGACCAAGCAAGGACGACGTCACGACCGCGGTGCCGACGACACCGCCCGAGGAGCCACAGCGCTACTTGGCGCGCGAACCACGGCCGACCGACGAATTCAGCGTGTCGGTCTAAAGCTGCAGCCTCATAAGACATTGAAATACAGGGCGTACATATGTACTACTAGTACGTTAATGGTCCTACATCACCTAGCCCTAGTAGCACCGCGCGTACGAGTATTACTAGTGCGTTGTTACTATTATACACTTATCGCATTTTCTCCACTGGAGACCCCCTCTGTGTAGGTCCAAAACGGTGCCGAGAATGAATCCTAGGATTCTGTGTACAAGTTGTCTGCTTTAAATGAATTCAGTGGAGACGGTAGCGTGATCATGCCACGTGCCGTTCACGAACAAGGGCTGAGTGGTCATCTGTACTTATGTAAGCGAATTCGACGGCCTTTACCGGCTCCGGAAATACGCCCGGTGCTGTGATTGGCTCCCGCGTTGGTTTGTGACACTCGCGACACGAGAAGCCCGATGGTGACCGAGGCCGACGACGTTCCTCGCCCTCGGACGCTGCTCCTGAGCGACCCCGCCTGCGTCAAGCACCACGTGCGTGGACATCCCGAGCGCCCAGAGCGGTACGTTTGCCTCGCGCGCGTCGGCTTGTCCGTTCAACGACATGTGCTAGCGTCCAAGTGGTCCTCGATCAGCTCGCCACGTCCTTCCCGACGCTTCCGCACTGGACGACGTCGCCGGCAGCCACCGTGGAGCAGCTCGAGCGCTTCCACACAAGTAGCCACGTGCAGTCAGTGCTGCAGTGGTGCAGCAAGATCGAGCGCTGCATGGTCGAGCTCGACACCCTCCGCGAGTCGGACGAGACCCAAGGTACAACGACGACTCTTCTTTGCACTACTTTGGTCGAATGCATTCTACCAGAACGCCGCAATGTACTCAAGTCGTTTGAAAACGTCGATGTTGACGCCGACACGACGCTCATGCGGTACACGCGCGAGGCGGCGCTCAAGGCTGCCGGTGCCACGATCGCCGGTGTTGACGCTGTGCTGTCCGGCGACTTCACCAACGCGTTTTGCGCGGTACGCTAGCTGCTTTCTATATAACTTTTTGCATATTGACAAAAGCGTAGGTCCGTCCACCGGGGCACCACGCCGAGCCTTTCAAAGCCATGGGGTTCTGCTACTTCAACAACGTTGGCGTGGCGGCCATGCACGCGGTCGCGCAGCACAGGCTCACGCGCGTCGCGATCGTCGACTTTGACGTGCACCACGGCAACGGCACGCAGGTAGCATCACCTTTGGTTTTGATAAAACTGACTATGAGTGCGTAGACCAAGGCGACGACGACGCCCGAGCTCCTGTACGTCTCGACGCACCAAGCACCGTTCTTCCCGCATACGGGCCACGCAAATGAGAATTCCGCGCACGTGTGGAACGTTCCGATGGCCGCGGGCACCAGTTCGTACGCCTTCCGGCACGCTTTCCTCGACCAAGTACGCACGACGACCTTGTCAAGATACGGAGGAGATGACGGAGCTGTGTAGGTCGAAGCCCAGCTGCGCGCGTTTGCACCGCAGCTGGTGCTCATCAGCGCGGGGTTTGATGCCCACGAGGTAGGACAATGCAGTCCGAACTATCAATCTCTCAAGTGGACATGTCGCACAGGACGATCCGCTCGCGGAAATGAAGCTCACGGACGAGGACTTTTACTGGATGACCCAGCGCCTTACCATCTTGGCGTGGGAATGCTGCGACGGCCGTATCGTCGCGAGCCTGGAAGGGGGTACGCTGTTTCATATTCACGTCAAAAAGTGAGATGTTGTGTCAAAATAGGGTACCATTTGCGTGCTCTTGCGCGCTGTGCCGAGCGCCACGTGCAAGCGCTCGTCGACGGCGCCTACCGCGCGGTGCTCTTGGACGCAATGTCAGGTCTCTCGCTCGACCCGCCGGTACGTTTTGTGTTTCTTATATTTTGCTACATTGCTACATTGCTAAATTTCTAAATTGCTAAATTGCTAAATTGCTATGTGGAATTAGGTGCGGACCAACTTGCGGCTTGTGCTGGCTAAAGACAAGAAACTCAAGACGCTGCTGTTGCCCGAAATTACGATCGAGAAGCTCCGTGCGGCGGCCAAAGCCAAGTGCCAGATGAAGTCAAAGCAGCAGTTTCGCACGGCGCACGGGACGTTGATTGCCGACACGGCGGCGCTCCTCACCCTCGAGAACGACTCGACCTTGTACATTGCTTAAGACAGATAGAGATCCGCAAGTCCATTTGTTTGGTTAAGGAGTATCACGGGCGACACGGGGCTCGTAGAGTCGTGGAATCTAGGCAGGGTACCCACCCCTACTACAGTGTCCGTAAAGACTAGGGTCAATACAAAGTTACCATTACCGTCGATCGCTAGTACAGTAAGCATTCGAAATCCTCGATAAACTCGGTTTCTAAACTTTTGTTTGAGGACACACCCGTGGGATCTTTCCGGTCGTTGCATGGTGATTGGACGTTCGTAGTATCTTTGCCCCACGAGTGATTAGTGTACCAAGGACGTACTGACCACCAACTAGCATGCAACTAGCAAGTCGCATCGAATTGCAGCAGCTGGGCTCCAGGTATCGGTCGACTGTAGCATTGTGCGTCTTGGGCCGCGCGCTGCCATGCAGCTTCAACTGACGTTGTCTTCTCCCAGCGTGGACAAACCACGTCCACGCTGCAACACATGGTGCCTTCCTGGTCCACTTCGAGCATTGGGTTTACTGTACTCTTCGTCCCAGTATGCACACCATTATGGACGATCACCCATCTGAGAGCCGCTCTCCGTGGGTTCGGTCGGAGTTGACCGATCGCGTTCGGGCGTAAACCGTAGTATACACTCCAAATCCGACGCCATCCCTCGGCATTTCCTCTTTTTCAACAGCCACGACGCATGGCTTCTCCACTGCACTTGGACCCGGCGGTCGTCGAAGCTGCGGCCATCGCGTCCGTCAAGCTGGGGCTCGCGCACCAAAAGACGTTTGCGACCGAGCCCGCGGACGCGCGGGGGGACCTCACGCTGTCAACGACGTCGCCGCTCGTGCAAGCGTCGCTCGCGTTTGACGAGCCAACCGCACCGGCGCACGGCGCCGACATGACGTCGCTTCTATCGTTTCTGCAGACCAATCTCGTTGGCGTCGCCAGCGGCTTCAACGCCAACACGGACACGTTCCTCGCGTACGTCCTCGGCGGCGTCCTGCCCCAAGCCAACGTGCTCGACTTTTACATCAACGCGGTGGACCCGACCACGATTGCGTGGTCGAAAGCGCCGCTGATCCAGCGCCTCGAGATGAACGTGGTCCACTGGTTCTGCGACCTCGTCGGGTACGCACGCGAGTCGTCACTCGGCATCTTTACGCAGGGCGCGAGCGGCGCCAACTTTGACGCGGCGGTGATCGCGCGCGTCAAGAAATTTCCGCGCAACCGCGACATTGCACTTGGCACCGTGTACCTCTCGTCCGGCGCGCATTTCTGCAATGCGCGGGGCGCCCGAATGGCGGGCATCCTTCCCGAACATGTGCGGCAGCTGCCGGTCGACGCGACCGGCCGACTGCGCCTTGATGCGCTCGCGGCGGCGCTCGCGGCCGATGTCGAAAATGGCCTCGTGCCATTTTTGATGGTCGCAAGCCTCGGCACGACGTCGCTCGGTGCGGTCGACGACCTTCACGGGATGGCCGACCTCGCCGACGCGTACGGCTGCCACTTGCACTGCGACGGCGCGCTCGGAGGTTTCTTCTTGCTCACCGAGCGCGGCAAAGCAAGCATGGACGGCGTGCACCGCGCGGACTCGATCTCGCTCGACTTTCACAAGGGCATGGCGCTGCCGTACGCAACCTCGATGCTGCTCGTAAAGGAGAAGGACGACTTGATCAACGGGTTCAGCGCCAACGACGACATGGAGTACATCAAAAAGACGGACAAGGACGTCAATTCCCGCTTTGGCATTGGCACGCAAGACGAGTTTGATTTGGATTTGATCACGTTTGCCGACTGCAGCCCCGACCTCTCGCGCGCGTGCAAGGGCCTCAAAGTGTGGTGGCTCCTCAAACTGCACGGCCTCGACACGTGGCGTGCCCACTTTGACCATGTGCTCGACGTGGCCGCCGCAGCCCGCCGCGACATTGCGGCCATTCGCGGTCTCGAACTCGCGCCCGGCGATCTCAATGTTGTGAATTTCCGCGCCAGCGTGCCAGGCGACGCCGACACGGTGAACGCAGCGACGGACGCGCTCCTCGCCGCCGTCAACGCCCGCCGCGCAGTGTTTTTGTCGATGGCCACGTACACGACAGCGGACGGCGTCAAGTACGCGACTGCGCGCGCGTGCTTTATGAACCACAACGTGACGTTGGCGACCGTGCAGACGCTCGTGGACGAGCTCCGTGCGGTCGTGCATCCCTAATCATCGGACGCTCTCCTAGTTTAAATGCTGAATGAGCTAATAACTGATACCGCTGGCTAGTATTATTGCGACTACGCCTTGCACCCAGAATCTTGAACGAAGCATGTTTACCGTAGCATGGTTGGACTGATAATCACGTAATTATCACAAATGCATCAAAATTTGATGCAGATGTCAACAGTCTGATTTAATCAGATTGTTGAACGCACAAAAGTGTGGGATACAGGGTGGGATTCTGCTTGTACAGCACGCGTGGCGGGCGCGAGCATGACAAATTCTGTCAAGGGCAATATATATGGACCAAACCCACAGTTTTTGGACACCAAGGGACTAGTGTCGCCGTCACCTCGTCGATGAGCAATACTAGCGCAGTCGGACAAGAAATGTCTAGCACAAAATACGTCAAAACTCAAATCGACACCTTGGACAACAACCAAACATGTCCACTGTCTGTCTATGCACGTCCTTCCAACCTCGCATGCATGCGGTGGGTTTACGCAATAGGCATCGAAAGGGCGCGACAAAATTGTCCGTGGTGGCTGGGCTCTACTACAAGCACCAAATAGGAGCTTCTGGGGACAAGAAACACGCTGAGCGTCTTGCTCTACTAGTGCGTCCGACATCGCGACCTCGTGCGTTGACCTCGAGGTGCTTTCGTCATGGGTTTATTGGCTCTTGTTTCGGACTGGGGCTGGCTTCGCCACATTAGCATTGCTCTTCAGTGATGCAACAACGAACTGATAGCCACGAGCGAGGCATGAACAACGAATTGATTCTTCCACACTTATCTAATGTCGTGGTTACGATAGTACTATACACGAGGACAAAAATATAATGCGTCCTCTCCGACTCCTTGGCTAATTCAACAGAAACTGCACACTGAGCCGGTTGGGCGCCGCGGTGTCTTTGAGGATAAACTTGAGGCTCAGCGCGCCCGTTCGCCGCGCCTTCTGGGCCTTTCGACGGAGGTACTTGTCCCGCTGGCGGTCCTGCTCCTTCTCGCGGTTCTCGGCGTAGCGCTCACGGACCTTGGCCAAGATCTGGTCGCGCTTGTTTGCATAGTACTTTTGGTAGCGTCGGCGGTGGGCTTCGATCTGCGTCGGCGTCATTTGGCGAGGCATCTCGTGTGCGTTTTGTGGCCAAAAGCAAAGTGACTGCTGTGACCTCCCGACACATCAAAATCTGAAATTTTAGACCGGTCGCCGCAGTGAGGCGCGACTCACGCTGGATCAGGCGCGCTGTCCACGACCGCCACGCGCTCCCACTGTAGCCCCGATCCATCGTATTGCACTTTTGTTTATGTAGATGCAGCGTAGCACCCTATGACCACGATCGGCACAGTCAAATTTTCAAAACCGCGTCCGAAGGAGAGTTTGATCGCATCCAACTAGAAGACAACCTGCTAACGGTTTTCGTATTTGCGGCAACGTACGACAAAGCAACGCGCCAGTGTATAGTAATACCCCATGCCTCTCGAGTGACATCCAATAGAGAATGTACACACGTGTTTACGGTTAACAAAAATGCTAGGTCAATCGAGTCTTACCAGCCGCCACCCGTGT